TCTTCACTCCCTCTCACTCACGGTGCCTTGCCACTGTGTGGACAGCATCAGCAGGCCTGGTAAACAGCAGTCACTCTGTTCTCCAACCTGTGAATAGACAGTAGTTCTCTTTGTTCAGGGCTGTTGTTGCTCGTCTAGCCAGTGCTGTGGTTCACTCCAGTGACAGCTTCCTTTTGAAGATAGCAGTGTGTTCCAGCTCAGGCAGAGTGGGGGCAGCTTTAAAATAGACCTGTAATTATAGACCCCCACACGGAAAAGTGGTTTACATGCTCTCAGACAAGAACACTAACAACAGGCCTCAAAAACTCAACCTGCCCCCAAAAAAGTTTTTGGACATTTACCTCGCAGGATACCGTCCTTGGTGCCAAGATTTCTGGTTTGAATTTGTTGTCTGTGTTCAGACAACTCACTGGCTGTTGTTACCTCTAGAGATGGGGTTGTGAACTGTGCAGTGTGTGCTTTAAGTATTTGACTCTTTCAGTTAAGACTGGAGTTCAGTGTTTTGACACAGTGTAAAACACATTCTTTTCTGGAGATGAAAGCTTTGTGCGTAGTCCTCTCCTCAAGTGAACCTGCCTAAACTCACACTCACCGTTCATGTGGTCTGCCTTTTATTTTGTTTCACTACATACAGCTGACCCCGAGGGAGCATTCTTGTGTAACAATGGTGAAAGACCCTCAGCCAAGCCAAACAAAGCTCCAGCCAAACACTTTGTACATTAACTTTTCCTACTGGCCCAATAATATCCCAATGGCTTTAACATCAATGTGACCAGGCGTCTGGTTAGGATTACTCTATGTGCTAACAGTCATTGCTTGTTCTTCTTGGACGACCCTGGATGAAGACCAAACCCAACTTTTCAGGTGTCCCATTCATATCAGCCATGAAAGCATTGAGGACACAGGAGCAGGGAACTGCTGACTGACTAGGTCTTATCAAGAGATCATTGGTCCAACAGGTTGAAATGGTTTAAAAGTCTCATTACTATATCATTACAGTATTCATTTTGTGGATTTATGGGGCGTTCAGGCCAAAAATGATCGGTCCAGATTGAGCAGCAGTTCAACATACACAATAAATGTAAATGTAGTGACAGCATATGATTTAATGTCAGACGGTGTGATTGGAGTTTGCGTGCAAATTAAGTTTGCAGACATCCAAACAGTGATGAGTTTAGCCTGTGTCACATCCTAAAAGTAAGAGAGAAGTTTGTGAACAACGGCAGACAAATTTATAATCCCTGTACGTGGGCACCAACAAAGTTGCTACGTTATTACTACAGTATATAGGTATTTATTCGACTAAAATAACTCTGATGTTCAGTGACTTAAACTAACCTAAAACAGCTCTGTTGAATCAATTGACCAAGACTAAGACTAAGACTTGGCCAAATTGGCCAAATTTGATTATTAGATTATTACGTTGACTAAATTGACCAAGACTAAGACTAAGACTTCTTCAAATTTGGCCATAGTTGACTAAATTGACCAAGACTAAGACTTCTTCAAATTTGGCCGTCAAGATTATTACACTGTAGTTGGTTTTAAAAATGTCCCTGTCCCTTATTGTTTCCTTAACAGGATGCAGCTGAAACGAAACAACCAATTGTTTCATGAGCATTAGTTCTTTTTTTTTCAACATGCTTTTCATCACTGACAATCTTGAATAATGCAGAGATGCC